TCAAGGTGGGACTGGTTTTAACTACTTAATTTACTGTTTAGTTTAGTCCAGTGGTTCCAAAGCTAGAGGTCGGGCCCCCTCCAAGGGGTCACACAATAAAATCTGACGGGTGGCGAGATGAAGTTACATTTGTAGTTGTTTATCTGGAATATTCTTTTTATAGTATTTTTGTGAAATGCTGGATGATTTAACTTATTTGGGCCTCAAACTGTCATTTAAATTTAGCATCTGAGAAGTTTAGGGGGGAAATGTCTCTTAAGCCCACTTCAGACCAATGACTCGGGACGAGGCAAAATCATCTTAGAATGTTGCAGAGAAAAGTTGCAGCAATGTGAACTGGCCATCTGAGCTCAACTCAAGCCGGCTGATGGTGTCACCTGCAACTCCGCTGGTCAAATCACTGGTGGCTGGTTTAAGAATGTAGAGAATGTAATAAGAAAGAAAGAAATAAGAAAGAATGTAAATCTCGTCACCTGTTTCTACAGTCAATCGGCTTGTAGTGCAGTCTGCTGGGCAAGTCAAAATGACCACAGTCAGTTGCTCTGCCCCCGTGGAGCCCTACTACACCGTCCTTACGTGTGCCAGTGTCGGACGTTGGGTCGCTCGCTGTTATGTGCTCCATCTGATGCTCATTTTGTTTGCTTTTTCACCATTTCATCACTACTACAAATGCAACTGTAGCCAGTATCTCACTATCACTATCCTCATTCATATTTTTAAGAAACTACAAATTATATGTAGCAACAAAAAGAGGCTGAAAAGCTGGAAATCAGAACAGAAGTACAGAGAGATGTTGCATAGAGATGATACACCGTCTCATCTTGTTGCATTGGTGTGAACCAGCAGGTTTTCATAACGTTGCAGAACGGCACATTGCAAGAAGTTGCATGTTTCAACTCGTCTCGTCTTGAATCTCTGGTCTGAACTGGGCTTTAGGTGGAACTGCTAACAATTCACAGACATGAAGTGTGCAGCCCTATCTCTTGGGCAGTTTTCAGGTCCAGACATTATCCAGAGTTTCCCTTTCACACATATAGCACACAGCTGGAGTTTGTGTCAGAAGTGCCTTACCTACTGGAAATATTCTAATACTAGGTTTGTTTAGGCGAGGGGTGGTGCCTGGGTAGAGCATGCAGGAGACAGGACAGGCGCTGAATACACTGTGGTCACATAGCCGGTTCGTAATTTAATCATACACAGCATGATGCCGTGATTCCAGCATCAGCCCTAACTCACAAAAGTTCCTGAATCTCGTCGTCTCTACTGTTAGACATTTTTGTTGCCATCTTCCTTTTAATAATCCTTCCTCTTTACCTCCGGATGTTTTTCTTTAGTTTTTTTCTACAAGCAGCATGATAAAAACATCATCCACCATCCACTCGCTTGCTGTGAATTCTCCGGACAATGACCTGCTTTATTCACACATGGGCTCAATCAAACATTACACAGACTTTGTACTAAAGAGCAGGCAGGAAAAAGTCTGCTTAATATCCGATCTAACTGATTCGGACAGCTCCACTGATCATTTCAGGTTTGCAGTGCATGTGTGAAAGGGGATCTTACGTTTGTATATAACTAAGTTGAAACAGCAAATACATTTTTGCATGAAACGTAATGTTGAGCGACTTAACATAATAAGGATATAACGTACCTGGCAAGTCGCAAAAATGCACGGAATGTATTGAAATGTCCACTGTCAATATATTTATTTGTCTTCCGCCAAAACAGGCAATCTTGCAATACACTATCTGCTTATATTTTTTCTTTATTACCTTTGTTTCATTACCATTTAACCGAAATAATCTTTTGCTAACCTTTACCAAAGTGCTTTCGTTGCCTAAACCTAACCACAGACAGGAGTCGAGATGTGAACCCGAGGTGTAGTGTCATAGTCCTGCATTTTGTATGTCGGTCACCCACCCCAACCATCTCCCTGTGAATGCAGTGCAGTAGATAAATGTAGTCTTTCATTAAGTCAAAGAAACATTTCCGAACATAACCCAAGTGACAATTACATTACTATAATATGATTATGAAAACAATTTGGTAATATACAAATATAATTTCTCAGAGATAGAGTGAGGAATAGGACATGGGGCCCATACAAAACACTGCTTCTTTTGTAGGGAGTCACAAGCTGGAAACCACTGGTTTAATCTTTAATTATGCACTGTATTTTGTAATTTAATTTTTTTTCTGTCAAATCTGAATCTGAACAGTAGCTATTTACTATAGCTGTGAACTAACTTAACTTAGTCACTACTGATTGTTCCCCTAATGTAGGGCACCATGTATCAGTTGTGCAGAGCAGCTCTTTGATATTAATCACCAGTGGAGAGATTTCCCTTTCATGTTAGCACTGATGATGCTAATGTTTGAGAGCCACATGAACTATTTACATTAATTTCAAAGGCTTTATGTTTGACAGAGATAATTTGCCAGTGACATGGTGTTCAGACGATCCATTTAGCTAAATAAATCCATGGGGAATAACATGAGTGATGCAGGTATGGAGTGATGGGCACATGAAGGACATGTTTGATGTAAGTGCACAGATTGCAATGATATGGCTATATAAGGGGTGTGGAGAGTGGGAGACGAATGAAGGCGCAGCTTTGTCTCTGGCTCGAGAGCCCTGTTAAGAACGAGCAATATGCCAAGAGCATGATTGATTAAATCATGGTCAGACATCTGTGAAGTCAGCACTAACACCACGGGGAATGATATACTCCCAGCAAGCTTACACCTTGCATTTCTAATAAACTGTGGACTGGCAACATTTATTTGAGGTTTCTAAATTTAGCATGCAATTAAAGAGCGGCTAAATCATTTATTATACATTTGAATTAGTAATCTATCATGAAACAAACAAAAGAATGAGTGGCTCAAGTGGAATTAGTTTACAGCTCAGAGGAGGGATACACAGGAGCCTGATAAAGGGCTGAGACATTTGAAGCTTTCATTATATTCAAATCTTTTCTTTTTTTTTTTACTTTCGAGTTCTCTATTGTTCACAGACTGTAAGCTGCCAGTCATTCTGTTTTGACTGAAAGAAATTAAATGAACCTCAGGTTAATCTAGAAAATGTCACAATGCACTCAATCATTGCTATGTCAAGGTGAGTGCACGAACTGGACGGAGCAGCCCGCAGTTCCTGATGCTGTTTTAGTCTATTAGTGGATTTCACAACCCATTTAAAGAGGTTTCCAGGTGAACACAAAAGCTGGGAAAGCCAGATGTAATGTGCACAGCAAATTACACAGAAAATTGTGCTCCTCTGTGGCTCTGCGGGTTTCACACTAATCCTGAACAATGGAGATAGTTTTGATGTTCACAAAAGCGACATTGTTACTGCAAGAATATTTTCATGCCTGTTTGTAACTCCATGCAGTGCAGTGCAGACTCTAGGAAAAGGCCACAGGATGCTTCAGGCCAAGAGACTAAAATGAGGCAGACAAACCCAGAGACAAATATCTTTCACTAGTTGCTGACGTAGTAGCTCTAAAGGCTAACTTTGTGTGATAAATAAAAGGTGCTTATTAGTTCAGCACAGACAATTTCTATCATGAAGACACAAGAGACCCTGTGTCTCCAGTTGCACAGCCCACATGTGTAGCTTCATGCTGCAGCTGTGAAGTCTCAATAAAAAAACAGTTACCATCTGGATTATAATAGAGCCCTAGTTTCAAATCATGTGTCAAATTGATGAAACACTTGTGAATGAGGAATAATTGGTGTGACAGGTAAATCAGAATTTGTTCGCCCTCCCCTGCCATTTTGTTTTAAGGTGTGTGTCATATTATGTATCTCCAAATTGTCTCCAATTTGTCACAGAATCAAAGTGAGGTTAAAACGACCTAATTGGACTGCTGAGGAAATCGAGTGTGTCGCATCTGCCTACTGCTGGACCCAATGTAGGATTTCACTCTGGCTCTGTGGTGTTACACGCTGGCGCAAACAATCAAAACCACCCTCCATGGCCGAAAAGATGAACAACAGGAGCACAGTGCGGTTTGAGCTGTTGGTTTTGCATGACACAGCCACTGTACTCATTTGTTAGTCTTAAACCGTTCCACGAAAAAATTGGTCCAATTCCAGAACAGAATGCAAAACTAATTATTTTGGGAGATAGGGAGATGCGAGCTGGAGTGGTGCATCCTTATAGATGACTGGAAATATTTTGGCTTCTAGTGTGTAAGGTGGCTGGCAAGGAATAGGTTTATTTTTAGCAGCGTGTTTATGTAAGTGACTAACATGTTGTGGAATAATGAGGAGGCTCTCTGGGCCCTCGGTGGAGTTACAGAGATGGGACTCTCAGAGCAGCAGAGGGTGATTGAAGGAAGCTAATGAGCAGGAGGGAAAAAACGAACACAAGAGTAGAAAAGACTGAGATAAAAAAAGCATGAAAATACAAAGGAAATACGACAATTACCAATGGGAGGTCTCTGTAAGGCAGGAGTGAAAAGAGAAACAAATAGAGATGAAATGGCGGAGGAGAATGTCATTGCGATGGCGGAGATAATTATCATGGTCAAAAAAAAAAAGACCACTGGCATGAGAAAACACTGTTTTTATTTGATTGAAGCTGAAATTTTACCCCTAAAAGCACTAAAAAGGAAATGGAGTACCAGTGAGCAACTCACTGCTGTGATTTATGAGCTCATTACCGCTTTACAGCTAACATCCAAATTGCTTTATCTCTTTACTCATCTCAGAATTACAGGCATTTTTTTCCTACATTTATGGTTTAATAGTCAGCTCTCATTTTTATTTCTGTAACAGAGTGTCAAGCTCCGGTGCTATTTCAGGTGCAGGTCTGTGACACAATGCACTTAAGTGCAGTGACTCACTGAAAAACACTACAAAACAATACTCGTCTCCTCTGCCTAGATTCTGAAATCATCTCCTGCTTTTCTTCGATATCATATCTTGTACATCCGTTCATTTGCACTGCATCATCTGCTCACACACAACAAGCACTCTCATACATTATCTGGTACCTCTTCTCAGGAGGGGGCTCCTGATTGGCTGGTGGTGGTTGTGGTGGTGCTGCCTGCGCTGTTTCCTGCAGGTCAGGGATATTGGCAAAGTCATCTTGCTCAGCCACACCAATGGCCAAAGCCAGGACCACCATCTTCCCTTCACTGGTTCCCCATACAAAAAATACAATAAAGAGATAGAAACAGAGAACGAAGAACGAGAGGCAAGAAAAGAGAACAGATGCAAAGGATAGGGAAATCGGACATAAAGAAGGTGTGGTGCAGGGGGAGAGAAGAAAAGAGAGGTCATTTCAGGTGACAGCGAGGACAGAAAGCAGAGAGGCGGCAGGACAATAAGAGACCATAGGAGAGTAAACAAGAGGAAGCAGTAACAGAGAAAATGGTCATAAAGGGAAATCTGCTACGCCCATAAGCACTTTGTCCAGGGAAGGATATTAAGACAAAACCTTAAACTATAACGGCCAAATTAATAATAATGTAATGATTCTAATGAAGTGGTGCTGTCAACAGGTGCAGGCTGTGTTCACATCATACAGACAACAAATAATTAAGGGAACTGTTGGTGATTAGTTAATGATTGTTAATGGATGTGATATTCAGCTGCTCGCACATCAGCTTCCACACATGTAAAAGGTATGTAGAGGCCCTGTACACACACTCACACCTCCCACACTCACAGTAATTTATCTAGTTATTTAACCTGCCTTCTGCTTTCCCTCCAGACTCACCTTTCCCTATCGAACATGCCTGTCGTCTTTCTCCAGAGTTAAGATTTAATTAAGCCTCATTAAGAAGATCTGGACTAATTGTTTCTATTTGAGTGACACAGTATCTTGAGGTGCTCGGTGTATGTCACCGTTTTCTGGGTCACTGCTCTCTCACTCTCAGTGTTGCACTCCTCTCATTTCATCTTCTCCATTATGCCACACTTGCTCTCCAAATCCCCTTTCCCCCTCATTGCTATCCTCTACTCTTAATTCTCTGCCTCCTTCCCTCCTTCCTGTCACCCACACCCACGGTTCTATAGCTTAAGCCTCTGACTGCGTTACAATACCTCTGCTAAGAAAATACGGTGCTGCCAAGCTGTGGAAAGATATCACCCTAAACTTCATAATTTCATCTTTCTTACATGCTGCCAGAAGTTTTTCTTGCAGCACCATGAAGCCTTGTTTAATAATCTCCCTGTTATACGTCTATTCCAGTGGTTTCCCAACCTTTTATGCCTGACCTAGCCCCACAACCACCCTCAGATAAGTACCACTTCTCCGATACCACCCGTCATAAATGTGTTCATTTGAAGTGATTCATCTATATTGTATATTACGATGTTAAATCCTTTCTTTTGTCTCACTATTTAAACCATTTATCCATTACTTTTTTAAAACTCTTTGTCTGTCCTTTACTTTTAGCTAACTATAACCTTTTATCCGTTACTCTTATCTAACTATAAAAAGTTTATCCATAACTTTTAGCTTATTCTTTCAACCATTTATTCATTACTTTTATCTATTTAAATGGTTAATCCACTACTTTTACCTTTTTTAATGGTTATCCACTACTTTTTATTCTTTACTTTTAGCTAACTATTTAAAACTCTCTATCCTTTCCTTTTTTCTAACTTTTTGAACTGTTTAAACTTTACTTTTAGTAATTAATCCTTTACATGTATCTAACTATTCAAACTGTTAATCCTTTACATTTAGCTAACTATTCAAACTGTTAATCCTTTACATTCAGCTAACTATTCAAACTGTCAATCTTTTACATTCAGCTAACTATTCAAACTGTCAATCTTTTACATTTAGCTAACTATTCAAAGTGTTAATCCTTTACATTTAGCTAACTATTCAAACCGTTTATTCTTTACTTTTAGCTTACTATTCAAACTGTTAATCTTTTATATTTAGCTAACTATTCAAACTGTTAATCCTTTATATTTAGCTAACTATTCAAACTGTTAATCCTTTACTTTTGACTAACTACTAATCCTTTACTTTTAGCTAACTATTCAAACTGTTAATCCTTTATATTTAGCTAACTATTCAAACTGTTAATCCTTTATATTTATCTAACTACTCAAACTGTTAATCCTTTACATTTAGTTTACTATTCAAACTGTTAATCCTTTACATTTAGCTTACTATTCAAACTGTTAATCCTTTACGTTTGACTAACTACTAATCCTTTACTTTTAGCTAACTATTCAAACTGTTAATCCTTTACTTTTGACTAACTACTAATCATTTACTTTTAGCTAACTATTCAAACTGTTTATGCTTTACTTTTGAGAAACTACTTCACCTCTTTATTCTTTACTTTTAGATAACTATTCAAACTGTTAATCCTTTACTTTTAGCTAACATGTTAAACTGTTTATCCTCTACTTTTAGCTAACTATTAAAACCTTTTATCCATTGCTTGTAGCAAACATTTAAAATGTTTATTCTTTACTTTCAGTTAAATCTAACCTTTTATCTATATAACTATTAAAACCTATAATCGATTGCATCCAGCTAACTATTTAAATCGTTAATCCTTTACTTTAGCTAACTATTTAATCTGTTTATCCACTACTTATATCTAACAACTTTAACCGCTTATCAATTTAACCCATTTCTTTACTTGAAGCTAATTATTAACTGTTTACCCTTTACTTTTAGCTAAATATGTTTTATTCACTAAATTTAACAGCGTTAACCATTTATCGATTCATTTTATCTATTTTTTCCATTTCTGTTATCAAATGATCTACACTGTCTAAAATTTACTTTTAACAATTCAAGTAGTTTATCCTTTAATTTTAGCTACTATATAACATTGTATCCTTTACTTTTAAATAACTATTTGAACTGTTTCATCTTTAACTTTTAGCTTGTTGTTTCAACTGTTTAAGTCTTTTAGCTAACTGTTTTAACTTCTCTGTTAGCTTACTGACTAGTTTTCACACTCAGCTATAGCAGCAGGTGGTGGTCATGTGTTACAACTGACTCAGTATTTGGATTTAAAAGAAATTGGATCATATTAATTTCTTAATTAATCAATAAATAATTAATTGAGCTACTCCACAGTCTTTTCACATATCTTCTGGCAACTGCAGAAGTACTCTGTAGCAAACATGCACCCCTAGTTGAGAATAACTGGTCTACAACAAATTCAATGGTATGGTGCTTTTATTGATACCATAGGTATAGGTTAATGGTTAATGGTTATTGGTCATTGGATCCCTCTTTTACCATTACCTTTTAAGTACAAGCCTTTACACTCAAGAATATTGGTGACACACTTCAATTAACGCAGCAAACATTGAGGAAGTGGAGGCGAGAGAGGGAGCAGACATTAATGACACAAGGATAAGTTATTGATTTTAAGCCAAAAAGCATAGAGACCAATCACCCAAGAGATCCATTTGGTCAAATGGCTCCAAAGGCTAGATATCTGTGTCAATCACATCAACACATTCATTGAGCAATGATTCACCCAGATAGGGAATCTGGCCAAGATTGAAATTAACTGTCTCGAACAATGGGTCATGTCTATTACTGGACCGCTCTGTCATCAATCACACCAGGTGTTGCTGTTGCACAGGAAGAAATACAACATTGACCTCAATCTCACGATGATGAGTTGACTAGTTTAGTTGACTATTATGGGCAATATTCTCAATGACCTTGGTGGTGGCATGTGCTACATTGCTAATGCCCTGTTGGCCGGTGACATTAGCTCAGCTGTGTCATACTTAAATGCCTGAAGAAGCTTTAACACGAATAAAAAAAAAAAAAAAGAAAATAAAACAAAAACTAATGGTGGAAAGCTGTAAAATGGATTCAGTGCAAGGGGACATTAAACACATGTTGTACCTTGGCAGTGTCCTTCCTCATCCCTTCACCCCCTCTCCCCATCATCTGCCCTCCCTCCACTTCTGGCCTGAGGTAACAATATGTTGTAGAAGTAATGGTGCTGGTGACATAAGATCAATGCTTCAGGGTTAACACAAATCTACACACAGCTGCTTAACCCTTGTTCTTTTACTGATGCACACTGACACGTGGACAGTGTGATGTACACATGCTGACACACACGCCAGCAGGCTAGCAGCACAACCGACAGACACAGATTTACTATTAGCATAAAAGTTACAGTTATACCGGAAAAAGAGGTGCCAGTTTAGTTGCAAATACTCATGAAATATGGATGAGTCCTACTGGTGTGTCTCCTAAGCAGGATATTTAACAGTCATTCCAAAGGATGGCTCAGAAATAACATCATGTAATTGAGTGGGACGGTGTGAATATAAAATGTGACTTTTTATGACACCATCTCATGAATATTATGAACTAGCACCACCAGCTCTGTCCTGTAAAGACAATTGCAGCAGACAGGCTGAATGCCATCCAAACAGATGTTACTGTTTAGCAGAGCATAAAGTGTAAACATTGAACAATTTTTCACAGAGTGGGATAGAAATAGCCCACAATATGTCGCAACTTCCCTGCCATTTTTCATGCACATGATGTTATTCATTCTAAAATTAGGAAAAATGCGTTTTTCAACAGATTGCTCAACAAGACGATTTATAATTCATCTCAACCGATGCAGCACTGTGCATTCATACAACTATCATTGCTCACGATGTAATCAGTTTAAATTTGAAAGGATCATAAACATATCATGTAACTATATATAGTCCCCCCTTTAAGAATAAAGTCTGATAGACATACGTATAATTGTTATTATCAGTGTGTGATCATAACGCCCTAATAAAATGAGATGTTGAGCCATCTCTTACACAACCACAGGTCTTGGAGCCAAAAGGCAACAGCTTATTTACATTTATAAATACCCTTATTAACATTTATAGTGGTTTTATTAAATAAGACAACCTATGGCCTCCTCATCCACACTCAACTAATCATCCTACATCAACATAATGAGCTATAACATGGACTAAATTGCCTTCATAACTGTATATAGAATATCTCACTGCCAGTGTTACAGTGAAAGAGATGATGAAACTTTGTGTAAGAAAATCCAGCAAATGCTGCAAACACACAATCTCATATAGCCACAAACCACAAAAACACAAACCTGTACAATATACATTAGGCACACATGCACACAGTATGTATTTTGAAAGATAGAGGTAATATCCTTCCCTGGATATCAGATGCAAACTGGAAGAAAACACCCGAAAGAAGAGGCACAGAGCAGTATTTTACAAAGGTTAAAGGTAAAACAGGTTAGTTATGGCTTAAACATAGAAACATTATTGAGTAATTGATTCTAAGACATAACGTATTGAACATTAAAGCAAATAACTACTTAAACAAAAGCATAAAAAAAAACTCTACATAGCATAGCATAGCTTAGCATGTACTGTAAGACACAGATAGGAACAGAGGCCTAAGCAGGTGACACTACAAAAGACTCCATACAGATATGAAGGAAGACTTGAGACTCACAGGAAGGACTTGACGTCCAGGCCGCGATTCCGCATCTGGTCCATCATGTAATCCCAGCTGCCAGGATTGGCACGTGAGCGCCCTGCTCCAACTCCCCTATTGCGAGAGGCCCCTGCTCCTGCTGTGCTGCCCCGTGCACCCCTGGGACCGCCTCGTGTACCTGCACCCCCACCCTCACCCCTGCCGCCACCTCCCTCTCCTCTCCCAGCACCCCCGCCTCCCCCAGGCTGTCCAGGTGCTGTGTGTAATTGTCCCAAACTCTGGGATGTGGTGGGGGGGTGGCCGAGACCAGGGCCTGGTGGGTGGATGAGAGGCTGCTGAAGGCTCTGCTGGCGCAGCAGCGTCCGAGGCCGGGTGGGGATGTGCTCCAAAGTGGATGCATACGATAAGACTGGATCCCCAAAGCTGGGAGGGCAGAGGAGCAGGGAGGAAAGAGAGCGCGAAGAGGGCCACGGCCGGCAGAGGATAGGATGATGAGGAGGGAGGACGGAGTCAGAGGTCACGGAAGAGGAGGAAGAAGTAGATGTAGGAGAGGAGCCGTGGCAACAGGAGGTGAGTTTGTGAGAAGTGGTGAGGTCAGAGGATGGGATGTAGAAGAGAGGGAAAGAATCATCAGAGATGAGACAAGGTGGCACAGGGCAGTAGGGAGACACAGCGGAAGAAGTCAGGTTGACATCAGGATAGATACAGGAAAGTTCATCCAAACAGGAAGTTGATGGTTGTGAGGGGGAGGAGGAGGAGGAGGAGGAGGAGGAAGAAGGAAGAAGAGTGGTATTTGAGGACAAAGTGGAGAAGGAGGCAGAGGGAGGAGCGTTGGGAGGTGGAGACAGGAGGAGGAGGAGAGAGAAAGAGAGCAACGTGAGGCAGCAGCAGTAACAGCAGTAGCAGAAATAGCAGTAGAAGGTGCAGCCTGAGTGATCGCTGTGTGCCGTGTACCGCTCATAGGGCTGCGTCGGGCAGCAGTGTGCAGACTGTGAGCTCGCCCTGTGCGTCTGCGTCAGATGTGTGTGCACCTTGCGAGTCTGCGTGGTCTGAGCGTGCTGTTTGCGTGAGGGTGTGTTTCGCGTGGGCAGTGGTCGGATATGCACCGTCCGCACGGGTGTGGCCCGATTCTGTGCCACGTGACCAAGTCGAGGCGTGTGGGTTGTGGCTTTGCAGGTTCCAGGCCTTCTTGATGAGGGTTTTTTGGTCTGATGAGAGATCCCCATGTCCTCTACTCGTCAGTCAACTTTTTCCATCTCTGATAGCCTCTCTTCCTGTCTCTAAGTCTTTTTCGTCTTTTAAATACATGCTGCACCTCTAGAGACATCCCAACAGCCAACCAAGTCCTACAGTACGACTCCCTCCCTCTGTCAGCCTCTCATTTTCCACTCCTCCCCTTTAAAAATGCTGTTTAATTGGCTCATTGCCTTTCTTACTGATGTTTCAGCAGCCACATCAACATGTAGGTGTGTGACACGTTATCTAGATGTCATCACTTACTTACACATACATCATTTCTGTAATTTACTGGCTCTACAGTATCCTCTATCATCTTTTTTATATATTTTTTCTACTACCCAAATATATCCTCCTCTCTCTCAGATCACTGTGTAACCCAGACTACAAGAATTAGGTCATGAGAGAGCTATTCACATCAGTTAGGGTGCAGTTTACTCCGCTCTGCATTACTTCACCTAACATAATTTCGCATAAGGCTTTTAGTGTCCATCATATTTAACTGTCACAAATAAAAGGATAAAAAGGGTAATGGAAGGTTTTGCAGAAAGCAAAACAGTTTGTGGGCAAAACAGAAGCAGAGGAGAATAAAAGGAGTGGCTTTACACAGCGACAGAAAGATGGAGAGAGCGATGGGAGCGATAAGAGCAGAGGGTGACGATGGAGGAGAGACAGAAAATGGGGTGCGAGACACAAACACAAGAGACACAGACACTTATAGCAGCCTGAAAATAGAATCCAATTATAGACAGGGGGCAAAAAGAAAGATGAGAAGAGGAGAGATGGAGGGAATGAGGAGTGAGGTAGTGATGAGCGTAAATGTGTTGTGGAGGAAGAAATCACAGGCACGAGGTGCCAAAGGAAGGTGCAAAAAAATCACAAACTGAAAATTAACTGCCTCATTTACAACACGCTGAATATAGACTCTAACTTATGTCATACGTCATGGCTCTGGGATACATGCAGTCAGTGACCAACATGCGTTTCACATTCCTGCCTGAATCTTAATTAAAATGTGGGCTGGCGCGTATGAGGCATTATTTTGGAGTGTGAAAATAAGACTATTTCTGTATTGCATTTTTGTGAGTACACTTGCAGGCTGTGCAGTTCCCCACATAAATAAATCATACCCTCCTGCAGATTCACATACGGGGCTGCATTCTGCAGCTGGGCCGACTGTGTCAGCCGAAGGTTTGAGTCAGTGTGATACAGCTCGAGCAACTATTGTTGTTGTGATGACGAGAGCACACATTTCCCCAGTGCTCACACCTTGATCTGTTCCCACACGCTCACCTTGACACCTGAGCTGCTCTTTCCTCCCTGCTGAACTCGACCTGACTCTCCTTGTTTCTACTCAGAACTGATTCATTCATCTAATTATGGCTGCTGCTGAGGCGAGGGTGTAAGTTTTGTTTCAACATTTGGGGGGGAAACACATATTAAAGTCCAGGTAAAGTAAAATCTGAGATTTCTTGTCGGAAATACATGTTGAAAACATGAAAAGACCGGGAACTATACAGCACCATTAGTCTAATAATTACATGATTAAACAATTTAAAAGCAAAACAGCCATCACTAACATCCCTTTCAGCCTGAATAGGTTTCCCTGCATGCCAGCAGTTACTGGTCACTGCAGTGAGTGTGCTTTGTGCTAACATGTTCCTGTGGGGGGGGGGGGGGGGGGGGGGGGGNGCGGGGGGGGGGGGGGGGGGGGGGTTGTGATTTGTGCTACTGGGTTAGCTGCTAAAGTGAGTCTGTTGCTGCACAACGACCTGTTCTTTATTTCAGTGCCTTCAGCGTACATATCTCCAGTGTTTTAGAGCCTAATTTTACATACTTGGAGATTTCTGCAATCATTCAAATTTGACTGGGTGGTTAGTGACACATTTTTCTGTGGTTTGACAAACTCATATTTATTTTTGCTTGACCTGGACTTTAAGCAGCGGCCTGGGAGTTGCTTCATTTCCTGCATTCTCATTATTCTGATGCAGCAACTTTCACCTTTTCTGCGTCGGTTTATGGTTGAAATGCGACGGTACTTCCTGCTTCTTGCTTCTTTCTGCTTTATGGCACATTGAAACCATTGCTTTTGAGATTTTATACAGCCACCATCTTTTTTACCATGAGGCGCTGTTATTCTATGAGTCGCGTTCTAGCAGTTCATTTAAATAAAATAACAGTCCTCTGCTACTTCCATGTTTTGACAAATTTTTGACAAATGCACAAGCTCTAAACATTGAGGGGAAGGTGTGTCCCCTTGCACCCCTGCGACCAAAATTTACACATATGTGCCAAGGTACAAACTTCAAACCTGTCGCTCTCCTGCAGCCCTTTTATTAGGAATTTGCATGTTCTCCTTGTGTCAGCCTGGGTTGTCTCCAGGGTCTCTAGCTTCCTCCCCCAGTCCAAAGACGTGCAGGTAGGTTAACTGGTGACTCTAAATTGCTCAAAGGCATACATAGTTGTCTGTCTCTATGTGTCAGCCCTGTGATAGTCTGGCAACCTGTCCAGGGTGTACCCGCCTCTCACCCAGTGTCAACTGGGATAGGCTCCAGCCCCCTGCAACCCTGAACAGGATTAGCAGTTACAGATAACAGATGGATGGTGTCCCCTGTGTTCCCCCTCCCTCCCTACGCCTATGTGTTGAGGTGAAAACAATGTATGAATAACTTGTGCATTGTAATGATGTGTTTACTTTGCTGCACAGTGACTTAGATGTTTGCTTTTTTCTACCCGGTTCTGAACTCACTCGCTGGGTCTCAATCCTCCGGACTGCATGTGGCCCTGGACGGTCTGCCACCTCCCGGCCTTCACTCCCTCTGTCACCATGCTCTTCACGCTGTCACTGCGATAAGGACCCCCCCCATCATCCCCATGCCCAGTTGCTGCCCCCTTCTGACCCCCTGACACTGCCCCACTAAGAGAGAGAGAGACAGGGTGCCGAGGTCCCACGGCAGACAGAAGGTATAGAAGAGGGAGAATAACGACAGGCAGAGGAGAAAAAAGACCAAAGAGCGTGAGAAAGACAGACAAGAAAACACACACGCACATACACAGGAATTGAGTAACCACATGGCTAAGGAGGTGAGACAGATCAGTAGAGTGTGTGAGAGGGCAGGTCTAGTTTTCCAGGCCAAGTGAGAGGCAGGTGGATGAAAAGGTCTGTGTGGAGTCCAGTGTGGAGAAAGAGAGGGATGGGGGAGAGGAGAGCAGGGAGGAAGAAGAGGAGGAGGAGGATTTACAGGGAGCCTGTAGAGGATGGAAAACCAGCAAGATGTCACTCCTCTGGGCCTGGAGGACCAATACTACAGCTGCCAGCATTCACTAGTGGCAACAGTGTGTGGACTCCGGTCATTTAGGTCTCATTCTCTCATTCATTTAGGCATTTGGGGCTTGAGATGTGCTACTATACCAGGCCATTCAATGGTAAGAACTTAGAGCAACTGGAGGACGGCCTGTACTGAAGTGCCTCATGAGCAAATAATCAACTCATTCGGGAAGTCATCCAAGTGACATTCAGTTAAATACAAATGCATTTGTTCTTGTAAAACATCAATTACACTCTATTTTTAGATTTAATGTCTACTGGTTTGTTTTGTAAAGATCTACTTGTCATCTGATCACCACTTAGCATCTACAAGAGTAAACAGGAAGTAGTGAAATACCTGCACCACACAGTAGAAAGGATCATAAGGGCAATGTAATCGTATCGACCTCCTAAAAAGGTACAGAAATTAATCCGTGTTCTTACTTAAGAGCACTTGGTAACTCAGATTTCCTCTCAAAACTGGTTCTAGGTTTAAAATGTCATATCCACTCTGAAAGCAGTGATGATCAAAAATGAAGCACAGTAGTGCCCTCTGGTGACATGACTACATTTCATTAATATGCATGGTGCTCCTGCTCCAGGAGGCACAAAATATGAAGCACAGAAGACACTGTCGTCTGGTGTGTAAGCATGGGGTCGGGGGGGGTGCTACACTTGCATCATGTCCCTTTGAAGGTCACCTTTCACATTCAATTCTGACCAACTGACCTGACAGTGCACGTGGATAAGTCATCAATCATAGCAACAGCATGGATGACACTGTGGATGGTCAACACAGGGGACGTGGGCCTCATTTATCGAGCACAAGGTGAACATCTTTACTCTTTATTAAAGCTGGGAACGAGTATAAATGGGACCAATGAATCACTACAAGTATTTACAGGATCAGAGCAACCAGATATCAATCCTGTTTCTGACTGAACTTCACTGACAGTAAAAGTGATTTACAAAAAAAATATAGCCACAAAATCTTTGACAGTTTTCCATCTTGAAGCTGTCAGACTGATCAAATAAAGTATAATGCGTAAATTTGAAAAATGGTTTATGTTAAACGACTACTTTTTCAAGATTGTGTCATGACTGTTGCTGGCATCCAACATATAACAAGTTCAATATTGAAAAATGATAGTATTGAACTGTCAATCCAATAAATCCTTAAACACAGAGATTGATCGTGCAGGGTAGGTTACCCGTTTGATAAATGAGGCCAAGCGTCATTTCAGAGATTGAAAGCTGCTGATCTCGAGAGAATCTCAAACACGAAATAATTCCTAGCTGTCTGTTGCCTGTATTACTGGTCGGAGTCAGGAGGGCGTCCCCTGTCTCTTCTAGTTAAAAAATTATCCTCATGTTTTCTCATTTTAATTGAATTTCTGTGTTTGTAATGGCTCACACACGACTGATAAAACGGCTCATTTTACCATTACTGCAGTGAAAAATTCATTTATTTTTTTACCACTGGAAAGACAGACAGGGCCCGCTGAAAAACAGCTTTATGGACAATAAATGACAACCTTGAGGGTTTTTTAAAAAATGAACTCCTCAAACGTGACACACTAGGGTCTAAAGCTGGTTTCCCAAGATCAGCAGCCATCATCTTCAGGCAGAGTTTTCAGACAGCAATCCATATATCCACCATGTTCATAAGCACACTGCTGCCTTCCCTCTCTAGGCAATTTAACACACAGTCCTCAACAGCTAGGTCTATTAAAGATGACCAGTTATTAGACAGTTTATCAGACAGATGCCTGGTAGCAGGATGTCTAAGCTCAGAACCTCCTCGGTGCCCGGAGGGAGATAGGTATGACCTTGCTACTGCTTTATTGGATTCAAGTGCCTAGTGAGTGAAAAAATGACTTTTATTGCATCAAGTAAAAACACTGTTGCCTTATTTTCCAAATATGACAGACAGTAGACACAGTTCAAGTGCTACAATGTTAGTGCAGTACACATTAGATATTAGGTTGATGGGAATCAGAGAGAAGCCACAGATGGATGTAAACCACAGGTGAACACTGGCACCACACTGCAACCTGGTCTAACGGTCAACCCTCCACAACAACAACAACAACAACAACAACAACAACAACAACAAGAGTTTCAGTTGACACAAGCAAAGCACAGGGAGATACACAGATTTCAGAGAAGGTGGGTTAAAGTATACACATCTTTTTGGAGAGGAAAGCTACGAGGGTTGTCCGTCTCCATGGTTACAGCCCCATGGGAGAGAGGTGAGAGGTTAGATGTCAGGAGTTAGTGGGACCGGCAGGGCTGTAGGGAGTGGGGGGGCATCTGAACATGCGCCTCTGTGTTCATTAGAAGGTGACGGGATGTGAGCAGTAGCGGCAGAAATTAGCCCGGGGAGGTTACAGGGCTGTGCTGCTTTGACGCTGCAGTAATAGTCGAATGGCAGTCGCGGGGATGCTGTAATGTGCGTGTATGACATTTTCCACACTCACATTTTCTGAGCAGATTATGACTAATCATTAGTAACCATTTGTGCCCTCCAGTGGTCTAACATTGGGTGGGTTGTTATTGTTGTCGTTATTACTATTGTTGATGGAAATCGTATTATACAACAATAATAAGTCTAGAAATGTGCAGTTTGTGTATATTGCCACACTATGACATTTACAGAATTGGCTTTTTCCACAAGCCCTTAGGCTAAACATCCCCGGTTACTCATGAGAAAATTTTTGTCTTCAGGAGGGTAAAAATAATCGAGATTACGAAACTAGGTGGATTTAATAAGCTGTCAGGCATTATAACGTCCAAATCTTATGGTCCAATTTGATGCCTGGCTAGTGGTGGTGGCTGCACGAGTAGAAGATGGGAAGGTGTGGGAGGGGAGAGAGGAGGAATGCAAGGAAGGGACTTAAGGGCCGTCCACACCAAGAACAACAACTATAAATATATAGTTTTAATACTATTTCTAACTGAAATAGATGGAAGAATTCATACCACTACTATAACCGCAATGTCAGTAGCAAACAGTATTGTTGGGATCAATTTCAGAGGGATTTGATGAACGATAGAAACACTGACAGCCAATCAAAATCCATTCAAATTTACAGGGCTTCACTTTCGTTATAGCAGATAACATTGCAGAGAGATTCATCATTCACTATGTTTACATGCACAAAATATTCATTTTTTTTGCTCTTATTCTGAGAAAGACAACATTCCTACTAAGCTGTTTACATGGCTAATAAAATGAATGAATATTCCATTAATACTCCTGTTTACATGCAGCTGTGCATACTATAATTAACGTGCCCTAACATGTCGTTTATCACGTCACAATTCAGAGAAGTGGAACGGCTGGAGGCGCTTGTCATTTTGTGTCTTTGCATCAAAATAGTTTTTTTTTCAAAGTTTTCTTAACGGTGGCAGGTTGTTGGACCTTGTTAACAAAGCTTCCAGCTTCCCTCTTTTATTCCTTCAACTACCTTCTTGAAAAGTTATGTGTTGCAATATTTGTCCAAAAACCTGTTGATATCCAAGTCTTTCATGTTAACAAGTAGGTGTGTTTCCTCTTCCGACCAGAAATGTTGGCTGTTCTTTTGGGCATTCATCTGCAGCTTTGCAAACTTTTGGCGAGTCCGTTTATGTACAACATATCTGTGACAACGCATAGAGCTTACTGTTAACATGCAAGAAGCCATGTGTCGCAAATTAGCAGGGAAGAACCCAAGCTGAGACGCATATTGCAAATGTCAAAACAGTGCTATTAAAACCAGAATAATTCCACATATCTTAATTGGAAAATGCTACAATCCTAATAACACCTAATTCAGAAAATCCAAACGGAATATGCTGTATATCAGAACACTGTCATATTCAGAATCATGGTGGAATATTAGTGTGCATGTAAACGTACCCATTGAGTATTAAAAAAAAAAGTACCCCTGTTTGATAAACACTCTTTCTTTCTAATGATGCTCGGGCTCACCCTCAGGATCAGTGTTAAGTGTTTTTTAGTATTAATGGAGCTGAGGAGATGTAGCCTACAGCAGTAATAGGTCATCAATATCCATTTTCTAGAGCTGGCGCATGCAGCACGTGTTTGGAGCTACTGTTTACAGAATGTTATCTTTCATCAGTAGGAACAGTCACACTGGTTATCGTTCTTTGTGAGGACCGCCATTAAAGGAAAAGAGAGGGCCAGGGAAAGGGAAGAGTGGCACTGCCCCTGCCTCGTTACAGCCCTGCTCAGGGGGAAGTCTCTTACCAACCTTGGACCAAGACTCACTTGAGTGTGAGGCGAGGATCTCCATATGGGGCATAGGGAGAAATGTTTAGTACGAACTCCTTGGGCGGATAGGAGCTCCACCTCTGCTGCACTGTGCTGCTGTCATTGTTATTCCAAAAATCTCTGTCTAGATCACTGCGGCCAAAGAGAGAGACAGGTCAGAGCAACACAACTATGGACAGCCTCGGCACCAGCCAACCATACGCAACAGGTGCTCCTGCTTTGATGCACTGGCTTGGTTTGAGGAAGAGGGTTGGTCTTACAGCCGCACTGAATGGGAGTTTGAAACAAAGCAGGCCCAGATTAATGTCTATTTTTCCACCTGAGGTTGACAGATCACCATAGTGGTCTGATTTAAAAATAAAGAAACAAGGGGGCAGCCTGGGGGGGAAAAGGCATTCACAAAAGCTTTTCATAAAGCAATGTGCTGTAGCAAAGACACAGAGAGATAGAGAGGGAGAAGCAAGAAAAGAGGAAGTCATAATCTGATGAATACATACAGCATGTGATTACATTCTGTTCATCTAGCATGGCACCACTGATGAAACACACTTGAGTAAACATTAAGAAATCTGGCCCTCATCCTCGGCGTGAGCGGTGAGAGCGCATGAACGCATGGGACACAAGGCAGAGAGATAAATCACAGACAGTCAAAGTAGAGGAGGAAAAGGTGAGCAGAATCACTGATGTCATACAAGTCACACAGCAGTGGTCAGAGCTGTAGCACAGGGACAGAGCGGGAGAGAAAGGCAGTGCACAAAGAGAAGGAGTTTGAAGCTGAAATGACCAACTGAGCACACCAATGCTGCTGGAGCCAGTGAGAAAGAAAATGCAAAAATTAAGAGACCGAGGGACTCAAGTCAGAATACATTCACATAGTCAATCTTTAGTGCTCAAAACCGTCCGCACAGAAATTAAAAAGTAAACACAAGACATTCAAAAATAGCTCAGACAGCAGCAGGCTATAGAAGAGAAGCAGGTTAATAGAGGCATTTTGTGGAATAAAGTATATTATTTAGCATTACAAAGCTGACATTTTCCAGTATTGACCTCTAGCCTTGTTTCATCAAGAACAGAAAATACCTTAATCTTAGTTTGAGCCCTGCAAGAAGTGTTAAATCAAAATCCTCCCAAACATTTAAACTCCAACGATTTAACAAGGAGCGCTCAAGCCCCGCTCCGTTTACTTAAACCTGCACCATTTTAAGCCACGCAGAGGCGTGGCTAAAGGCCTGCACTTAAGGGAGACCTATCTTACAACCCATAAGATAAGTGCAGGAGCAGGCTCGTCCAGCCAAAAGCCTCACAGGTAAGATAATGCAGATTTAATCTATACTGATTAAATCACTAACCTTTCATTTAATGTCTACCCGAACATGCTCTTGTAGCGATTGTGCCCTTCAAGATAAAAACAACAGGCCTCATTTTCTGCCTTGTTTGTGTGGCATACATCACGGGACACAAAGCTGAACCAAATGGAGTTCATTATCACCAGATTATTCTACCCCAACCAGTTACCAGGCGCTTACTTGATGGCTTTCTTCTCCCCTCGCCCACGTGCCGAGTCTGGAGTGTCTGCTGTTTCCACTCCTGGCTTATTCCTCTTCCCCTTGAGCCAAGCGGAGGGAGGAGATGACAGAGAAAGCAGAGAAACAAAAGGTTAGCTTAGATTTGTCCTCTGAAGCTGTGTTTTTGCTATACTAATTTCAAGTGTAAATGCCTCGCCCATTATCTCAGGAACACTGTGCCATCAGTCCTTTACCTGATGGTCTCCTGATTACACTCATCAAAGTCAAATCAAATCTGCTGTGGAGAGCCATTTCTGACTATGATTATCATTCGCACCACCCTGAAATTTACATGGCAATTGCCTCTTTAAGGTAATCCGCTGGGTACTGGAGAGAAGCCTCTAGAAAGTCCCGCACCAGCCTGATTTCAAATAGCTAGAGCATGACCTGCTGTAACCATGGAAATAATGGCAATTTGAAGGCTCGAAAAGTGAGGTCTGCTGGGCGCATTCTACTGGAAAAGCTCATTACAGTTAAAGGTGTTTCACATGTGTCACAATGCGAGTAATCTCTATTGACACTTTGCCACAAGTGGGACAGGGAGGGGATCAGTCTAAAGCTGCGCTGCCCCCCCCAAATACCACACATGCCTCCCTGAAAGTGATGCACTGATACACATCAAGGATAGGCGAGGATTCTCCGGCCCAGAAAATGAGTGGGAGGAAAACACGCGGAGCTGCCACTGTGGCTTGGCTCGGACAATTGGATTTTAAGTTGAAGGGCAATTTCCTGTAGTAGGCTTGCTTCGTGGAGGCTGAGCATGGAGCTTGAGACAGGAGATCTTGGACTGGGCAACCTCCCTGCTTCCACCTTTCTCTTGTAATGAGCCTTCATGATAAGCCTTACCAGACCTCACTAGCGTTCTGCTATGTGGCCCTAACCACACTGACGACATATCAGGTTTGTGTGTTTTGTCATGAAGATGTCAGGCTCTGGTTGGCTTATTACCACATATGGTGTATCATTAAATTTTTTTTTTTTTTCTCTCTCTGGGTATGCCAGTCTACATCCATGCCTCTTTTATGTAATGCTCAGTGGGAAGGGCAACATGACATGGCCAACGTACTTAATTAGCCTAGCAAGCTAACAACAGCCTGATGATCAAATTAAAGCCCTTTTCACACATGCACTGCAAATCAAAAATATCTAGACATTACCCAGAGGAGCTGTACGTGAGAACACAAATGTCCGAATCAGTGGGATTGCACATTAAACAGACTTTACCCTGCCAGCTCAATACAAAGTACATCGCTAGCTTAGCCTAGGGAGATCCAAGACAAGGTATCGCTAAGAAAAAAATTGTAGGAAAAGGCAATAGGCTGTATGACGCACATTTAGTTGATGAAATGTAAAAACACCTTTTTTTTTTGTTCTGTGTATAGGCTACACATTTTTTTTTTGCCAAAGCCACGGGGAGCCACTGGAGAGGGCCGTATGAGGAGCAACAGGCTGCCTACCCCTGGTCTAAGTGGAGAGACAACAAGATTTGGAAACTTCTGGCAATAAGAGCAGACGCCGTGCTGTCAGACAAATTCAAGGAGCAGCAAGAGACGTGGTTTTACGACCAAATTATGAACCGACTACACGACCGCAGTGTAATGTGCATCATGTCCTGCCTCCTGCAGGCTCTATCTAGGCACCACTCCTCACTTAAACCAAACGGAGTATTACATGTAGGTGAGAACACTTCTGACATGGAAAATCTCCTGTTGTGTGCAACATGTGTAAAAGGGAAACTACTGACAATGTGAAAACGGTTTGAAATACCATTTTGGTTATTCATTCATGGCACCTATTTCCCTGTTTGGTAGATGTGGTTATTTTGTTTCATTTTGCCATAAGTACTGAGTAATGCATGTGTCCTGCCAGTGTCATTTTGAGGTGACACGGAAAGCACAGGATGTGAAAAATTTTACATTTTTCATACTGATCATAGAAATATTCTGATTCCAGAGTTGTTATTTCTGTAAGTGGACTTGCAGCTGCATCAGTCTAAGTAGTGGAAGTCTACTTCCTCCCACTCCTTTTCGGTTATTTAAATCAAAGTAACTATACATTGACCATTGCCTTTACATTATGCTTTTCATAATTTGTAAATACTACTTTCTCTCTGTCTTTCTGCTTGTTTGTATGTTCATGTCTTTTTTTCACATTTGAAATATCAAGTACCCACTTTTGTTGCCATTTTTCTGTCACTGTTTATTATTTATTATGTAGCTATGTAGATGTAGGAAGATGACATCCCCATTCTTCATTGTTTCCCCAACCACCAGAAACAAAAACCAATGGACACAACATCAGACATTTAAACTTCTGAACAAACTGGAACCAGGCAAAACATGCTAAGGAGAAGCTTCTCATAATCTTCAGTGATTCAGGGGAGGCTTTGACAATGTGAAAACATAATGACCAGATAAAAGCCCCACAGGCTGGCTGAGATTTTAACGCTGTATATAATTCTGTTTATGATTGATTTGTTCTAACAGATGTCAAACATGGAGGACTACAGTTGTAGAAAATAGATTTCACAATATAAAAATAGCACAAAAAAGTTCAATTGTAAAAGAAATAAAATGTAGGGAATGATGAGGAATACAACAAAAACCTTTGGGGTCTGTTAAACAAATGGAGTGAATTTTAAATGTCTAAATAATCTAACAGTTTTGCCAAAAGACACCAAATACCAGCCACATTCATCAGGTTAATTCTGAGTAGAGTCAAAGTTGATCCTGGTAAAGCCTGACCCTTAAGGCACATCATCTATTATTACAACGGGTTATGGTGCTATTTGCAGTTTGTGTTGTGTCATTATCATTAAAAATGCAACCTAGAAAGTAATGGCTTATTGGCCAGTGTAAGCTGCATGTGTTTCGTGCCAATGGGCTTTGTTGGCCTGGTGTGTATTTTATTGTCATTGGCAGTTTTGTTTTAATTGGTGAGAAAAAACCTTTGTTGTCTGTCCAAAGCAAGCAGATTACTTTGTCTTTGAGAAGAATAAAGCACTGGGTCTCATTATTGCCTCACGTTGTGGCAGTATCAGTCAGGATCACTCAGTTTGGGTCTTAAAGGCACCAATAAGGGTGAAGTCCTGTTTTTTTCAGGGCACGAAGAGAGAGATTTTTGGTTTTAAATGCCCTCTAAGGTGTAGATTTTTCAGAACTCTGATTACTTAGTGTCTGTGTATGAATGTAAACGGAGTGTTTGGGAGACGATGATGTCATCTCCTCAATTCGCACATGCCCGTTTTCGCTCTATGTAATGAGCGTGCACCAGAAAAAATAACAATAGCGGACTAGCAGTTTTATTTTGTTAGCATTGCTTGATCTATTGACAACCACTTCAAGGATGAACGTAGGCGTCAGCAACGTGCAATTTTATTTACTCCACCTTGGCATCAGCAGTTTAAAGTCTACCTGAAACAACATTGTGGGATCAGGCCCTGTTGAACCAGCAGATTGTGGGACAATTTTGAGATAGAGATTGTTGTTGATGAGGAGTGGAGGGGGAACTTCTGTCTAGATCATTGCTCATATCTTTCAGTGACCTACTCCGTCCTTATATCGAAGGGGAATCAACGGTGATGAGATCTCCAGTATTGTTAGGGGTCTTGAAGAAGAAAGCCTATACACTTAACCACCTTTGTGATGAGATGAAACTGCTGAAGATGGCGAACACCAGCAAGCTTTCGGAGTTGTTTTTCGTTCTAGTTTGGATGGAGATATTTTGTAAAACTCAGGTTGTGTGGACAGATTAATTTTTTCAAACTAAGGGGAGAAAACAATCTGTTTTCAAAAACATCTGTATACATGTAGACAGGGCCTTAGGCTCATTCAAAATTCTAGACACCTATCAGTGATCAATGAGCACCATGATTAGTATTACACAATCAGTGTAAGATACCTTCCCCTCCAGAAGCAGAACGATCAGCACCTTGGCACCAAGTGCAAGAGTTGTTTGCAAAAAATTTTCTGCCCACCTGTCTCCTCTATATAGACAGATTCAATAAGGCTTGGCAGCATATGCCCAGCATTTACACCTGCCCATATTCAACCTGTCTTTATAACACAAACCCACTGAGCACGAAACACTGGAGAAAAAAATCCCAGAGAGGCAATCAGCCGGAGGGTATATACGAGTTTCTAAAAGAAACTGAATTGACTCAGATCTATGTATGATGCATGCAATGCTCATAAATAGCAGAAGCTTATAGAAATGCAAATTGAGCCAAGGCTTATATGCTGAGCATCAGAACCTAGCAGGCACAGTGACGTAGACACGACAAGGTCTGGATAATAGATATCATTTCAAACTACAGTCCACACCTTGGATATTGTGGCTTTGGATTATTGTTGGACCTGTTACAAAGCCAGAGTTGACAATAGCACCGCTGAGCAAAAATGATAAAGCCCACAATGGCACTCGGTAGCAAAAATGATATCCATCACACACAAGGAAACAAAACCGCTCATCTGTTGTATAATCAGCTCCAACCTGAAATAAAAGGTCACCAAATGAATAAACATAGATCTGACAGGAACGACTAGTTAAACAGCTGCATACAAGAGGTGTGTTTGTAATTTAAACACTGACTTCTACATCAACAGTGTCTTTATAAGCCATCATGGGAGTCTATATACTGAGCACATCACATGTTCTCTGCCAGCATTAAGATCATTCATGATCCTCTATAGTCTGCCTCAGGCATTTAATAGCTGCTCTCATTGGCTTGACATGCTAGCTGAATACATAAAATGACCTCATATTTTGTACACCATTTTGAAAACACAAGGATGCATACAATCCACCATTAAAGCTTCACATCTGCATGCCCAAGAAGAAGACCAATACAAAAAAATAAATTACATAAGCACACAACAATAAATACAGTATTTGTGTACGGCAATTTCTGGAGAGGCAAAACCATCTGAATCTCTGTCAGGCGAGGACAAGCTATCAAAGGAAACTCATGTATCATTCAATGCTATCGTAAAATTTTCAGGAAGGTGGGAAGACACAGAGGATGAGCTAGCCTAGAGTCCGG